GAGCCTCCAGTTCGTACTCTAAAGCTCATGGATGGGTAGGACTCGGTCCATCCTCGTGTCAGGGGTCTGGCGTCAATCCCTGGGTTTGGAGGGACTGATTTTGACCTTTTTCACGGAGCGTCTGGGTATCGCATGTCTGGACCATCCTGGCCGGCGATGCCCGGTGGTAGTGGTGTCCCCGGGGGAGTCCAAACAGGACAGCGGGACACATGCTCGTTCTCCAGTTTGACTAGCTACTTTCCTGGAGGTTCCCCTTTTGGACTCCAGGTACGACCGTGCCTTTCTCTCCTCTGTCTCGGTGTCCTTCCACTGGTAGATCCCGGATAGTAGTGCGTACAGTAATCCATTAAGACCTCCATAGAAAAGAAAGGTCCTGCTACTGTTACTGGTTATTTCATGTTATTTCTCTCCTCTGTTTCTTGGAATCTGAGCACCCCAACACGGCGTCTCGATGCTCCCGCATGGAGACCTCGATGCTCCGGTGGCCAAGGGCCACCACCGTGGGCGGTGACGGGGCTGAGGTGTCTCGGTCCAAGGGAGTCCGTGTCGACTCGGATTCATGACATGTCCCAAACCCTGGGAGTCAAAGACTATAAAAAGAATGGTCTGACTAGGGGACCTGAAAGGGAACTTCCTTTACTTCAGCCGGTCAAAATATAGTCTTTGGACTTCTAGGGCAAACACTTCATGTATGACATATAGTCGGTCTGTCCAATGAGCTGTAACAGTCGGTAAACAATTTTCTTTTTTTAGAGAAATGCCTTTGTTCATCCTGTTACGGGTAATGGGATAGACCCAAATAATATATAGTATCTTCCAGCTGTGAAACAAACAACCTTTTATCAGGCAGAACTTTTGCACAGAAGATCTAGGTATGCCATGGCATGCCTATATTCATCCCTTTTCAACCACCCCAACTGATCGTTAAATCTGCTGATCGTCCCGCTCTGGATGATGCAAAACCGATCAGCTGGGGTGGTTGAAGAGAGGGAACACCATGCTGCCCAACCAGTAGCGATATGGGACTCTATCCATGACATGCAACAAATAACAAGCACACATAGGTCATCCCTAGCACCCCCCAAAAGGACATCAACCGCTCGACCACGAAAACTGGCAACAACCACAAACTCTCGACATTACAACAACCACAAACTCTCGGGTTGGTGTCCAACCATCTCTCTGATAGGCCGTGTTTTTGGAGCTTCCAGTCAAACACCCAGAAGTAGCCCCCCCAAATTCTCAGAACAGTGGGCAAGGGGCAGTTGAATTCCGACATGAGAACACACCATCCGCCAAAAAGGCAAAAAGAACGACACGGCACACCATCTGTGTTGTCCAACAGTATCAAAAACCTCCCAAGTCCCAAAGCTGTTCTCTGGATCATAAGGGGCCTCTACGAACTGAGGCATCCATATCTTCCATCCTCTCTTTTCTGGTGCCACACAAATCGGGTGACCTCAAAAAAACCTTTGTGCGTTATGCAGCTATATGCATGAAATCAAGGACACATGCCAACGCAATGCACTCTGTGCTGACGCCTGCAGTTCAATGGGAAAACATTCCCTACGTACGTCCAGTGTGACCCACTAAAACCTGGCCAGTTCCTAACCTCCTTAAGTAGTGTGAACTTGTATGACCACGTCCAGCAAAATGAGATCATTTGATTTGTATAGGGCCACCTTTCTTTTCCATGTCAAAGCAATCGTTGGCCACGACAAACAGGTCTCCTCCAAAGTGAGGCTCAGGTCCTAAGAGCTAGAGCTATAGTAGCTATAGTACTAGTGTGTCGCTTCAGACTGACCTCTTAAGTCAGAGCGTTGAACCATTGGTCGAACCATTGGTGACCTGGCGTGAGGGTTAGATCTAAAGACCTCTAGAGTCGACGAGGTCAGTTCCTGACCTGTTTTGCGGATGATCTCCTCAGGCTGCCGTCCACCTTCCAGGAGAAATTCCACTTAAGTCTATCTTTGCCAGCCAGGCAATGGAAAATGGATCTTAACTGTTTGATCTTCATTTTATATATACAAAATTCATTCCTTTTATCTCTATAGTGACTATAGGCTGCTCCCAAGCTGGAGAAACCAAGAGGACCGAAAGGGGCATCAGCGATCTCTCCCCCTTTTGCCGCTTGCCTTTCGCAAGAAAAGACGTTAGTTCACCGACTCTCCCTAGAACTAACATGGAAGTGGAGTTTACCACCTGTTTGTAGTGGATTTCATGGTCTTCCTTACGGGGCCATTCTCTACTTCCACATTAGTTCTAGGGAGTGTAACTGTTCATCTCATGTTTGAGCGATGAAACCAATCCTCAAAACAAAGGTTATAACCGTTATATATCCACTATAGCTGGGTAGGTGAGGATGGTCTCCCAAGGGCTTTTCAGACCGCCTAAGGACACCCATATCAGAGTCCGCCAGTCCAAAGAGGCCGGAGAGTCTTCCCCTGCGCGCAGCTCAGCCCACGGCGACTCCGGTTTCCCACCACCCCGAGGTCTGGGGCCCCCTGGCCGGTTCGAAGTCCTCATCCAAAGACCTGAGGCTCCGCGAGGTTCCGGCCGTTTTGCAAGTGCGCTTGGCGCGCTGAAGACACCAAGAGCGCGCCAAGGTCCAAAGCGCCGGAGGGTCGGAGGGTCGGAGCTTGGTTCGGAGCTTGGTCGGAGCTTGGTTCCCAAGTGGTTCGAAGCACCCAAGGCGCGGAACAAACGCGCGTGCGCCGCGCCGCGCCCTGTCTGGGTGTCCTGTCTGGTGAGCGGGGTAAGCAGTGTAGGGTTGTCCAGCCAGGTCACCGTGGCTATGGAAGCAGCTGGTACTTACCAACAAAAGCAGTAACATCCACCAAAAGCACAGCTAGTGCAAGGTGTTGGGCTCAGTCCCAGGTACCTGACCCCCTAGCTCGAGGGTCGGGGGCAATCACGGATTTGATATGTTGCAAACAAAGCCTTAAGGTCCAAGTCCCAGACACTCCATGGGACTGCCATATTTACCTACATTGGGGTGGTTTCAGGGGTCAATTGATCGGCAAAGATGCGAGTCCCATGGAGTGTCTGGGAGTTGCAAGTTGCTCAACCTTTGCCAAATGTGCCGAGCACTTGAGATAGACCAGGACAAAGAAAGAAGTCCAGGACAAGCTTGGAGTTCAAGAAAGACTCCCACTATACGCCATTCTGCACTTGCATGCACTTGCCATTTTACTTTTTGTGGCAAACTCTTTCCTTGATAACCATCATCTGGATCATGCCAGCAGCAACATCCCTGAAGAACAAGAACAAATTGAAGGATCCACCACTTTTCGTACCCCTAAAAAGACCGAGTTCAACCTGAACTCATCGCTAGCAATCCTCCTCTGCTATCAATCCATCGGTACCAGTCCCGGTCAAGGCGCAACGGCGAGCTCTACGAGGCTTCCAGCCAACCTCCATCGCCCCTTGCTCAGGCCGCTGCCATAAGCGTAGCTCCCCATCGGCGGCGCCGGAAATCATCCGCCTTTACCGTCGGCACGGTGGCGGTTTTGCTTTTGGTTGATGTTTCAGCCACAGAAATAAAGGATCATCAGTCGTGTCTGGGTATGTACATGGTTGGTTGGTTGTTGTTTCAGAAGATTGGAAGATTCCTAAACAACCTACAGGGCCCCTGATTGGTACAAAAGCTGGGAATGAGCTTCACTCCCAAATATGGGACTTGGATGGACTTGGCATATTTACCGATCACTTCCAGCGGTTTCTTAGGAGTCAATTTACAGACTAAATGTGCCAGTCAAATGGAGTGTCTTGGGCATCCTGATCCTCAACAATGGCAAGCAATGACCTCATATGACTATGACAACTTGGTGGTCCTGGTCTCTCATGCAAACAACTTGGACAAGTCACAAGCAGTGTGGAACATCACCCATGACATGGAATCTGTGTGTGTGGCACATTGATCAGGATGCACGCCACACCCATCCACACCCCCCTCTTCTCCCAATTTCTAGACCCTGCAGCCCTGCGGCTTGGGAGTTCTTAACAACGAAAAAACATCCAGTCCCACTGCCGCCATTGAAAGGCTCCTGACACCCTTAGTTTGGAAAAAATGAAGGTCAACAAAACTGTTTTGAGTGGGGAAACCCAACCCCCCCCCAAGAAATGCTTAACGTATATCCACTTCTGGATACACTAGAACTCCAGAGATGGCGCACTATGAGGCAGCACTAGCATCCACCCCTAGCGTCCCAGCACTAGCGTCCACAGGGCGACGTCCCAGCGGCGTCGGACGTTCCCAGCTGTGACCGACCGCTGGTCCCAGCTGCTTCAGTGACCGACAGGTCACGAGGGCGACCAGGTCACGAGGCTTCAGCTCCCAACGGGTCACGAGGAGCCTAAACGACCATGTGACCTCCAATGTAGGCAGGCACCCCGTCCTGGGGCGGTGCCTCAACTGCCAGTCCCAGGCTGGTCGTGTCTGGTTCCAAACTGCTTCACTTCATGACCGAGCGAGTGAGGGTGACCTTCAGTTCTATGTGACCCTCGAACGAGGCGAACGAAGTATTGTGACCTCCAATGGGCCAGGGATCTGTTCTTCGGGTCACGTTGAAGAACCGACATCGTCTCACCGAATGCATCGGTCGAAAACCCACCATCCCATGTGGTAAGACAATCGCTCCTCAGAGGTTTGGTGTGTAAAATGCCACGCTGTCATGGCCCAAGGATGTGTTTTTCTATTCCAGCGCCTGCGCCAGGTGGTTCACCACACGTATAGAACAAAGTGTTCGGTTTTTGGTCCATCAGGTTCCATCTGGGTCCATCGTTGGAAGATCGAGTGTCTAGTTCTGGAGTCTCAGTATACGTACCTCAGAACATGGGAGCCCCAGTGGTACCTGTTTTTGCTTCGGCTTCATGTCCCCTCAGCTCGCTCCACACAAAAAATGGCTGTCCACTCAGCAACCTCGCGTCTCACGTCCGTTCTGGCGGGCTTTTTTTCCGGTCCTCGATGGGCGCAGATTCACCGGGTCCTCGCGCACCCCTCACACGCTGTAGATTCGGGCCGCAGCACCCATGCTGGCAGTGGGCTTGAGGCTTGTAGGCCTGCGGTCTGCAGGCGCGTGGCTTCTGCTTTAAAACGCGCGCGCAAGAAGGAAAGGTGGAAGAGTGGAAGCTCCGGCAGCTGCACGGAGAAGTTGTCTCTCTCTCTCTCTGGACTTGACTTCGTTCGTACTCTGGAGTCTCATGGGACATGACCCGAACCCAAAAACAAGTGCGCCTGGGGCCCCCATTTTCGGTTCTCCTCACTCAGGTCGACTCTATGGGGTCCTTAGATCTAAGCCTCACGCCAGGTCACCAATGGGTCGACCAAAGACAACGGTCTGACTTAAGAGGTCAGTCTGAAGCGACACACTAACCACTAACCACTAGCCGGACCCTCTAATTGGAGGAGACCTGTTTGTCGTGGCCAACGATTGCTTTGACATGGAAAAGAAAGGTGGCCCTACAAGTCAATGATCTCATTTTGCTGGACGTGGTCATACAAGTTCACACTACTTGAGGAGGTCAGTCACTGACCAGGTTTTACTGGGTCGGACTTATACGTTTTTGGGGTGGTGAAAAGACACACCGTTGCCTTCATTGGGGTCCAGTTCCGGGACCTCGCCTGTCAGTGTACTCATTCCCAAACACTCCATGGGACTGGCCTATGCTCCATACATTGACCCCGACTTCAACCACCCCAACTGATCGGTGAATATATGACAGTCCCATGGAGTGTTTGGGATTTCCTTCTTTTTATACGACCCTAAGACTCCGAAGGCCCTCAGCACTGGACCCGAACTCTCGCGACCCCGAACGGCCCGAACGGGCGTCGACGAATTCCTCGCGGGTCGACGTCTCGAGCTTCTCGCGCGACGGGACGGGATGGAGACGTTGGCCCCGAAACGGAACCCGAAGCGGCGCCCAAAGCTGGACATGTTCGAGCTAGAAGGGTCCAGGAAACTGGACAAGGTCTTCACCGAAGAACTGGTGTCTTTTCTTGGCGTTTTTGTTTTTCTTTTTTCTTTCTATCTCTCTCTCTCTCTCTCTCCAGTTGGTGGTGTGTTTGGGTTCAGTTCTGGGAGGGGCCGGATTCTTCATGGGCTTTCCATGCAGAACTGCAGCAATCGCTCATTTTTGGACTATCTTCCCCATCTGGATTGATTATACCCTAGGGCTCCTGGCCTACCTCCGTTTCGAAGATGGTTGGGGTGGGTGCCATGGGGGTCTAACCACCGAACCTGAGGATATGGGCCAGGAGCCCTAGGGCCCTAGGGTATATTGATTATACCACTGCCTCAGCAGTGGGGCCTGACGCCTTAGACCCTGCCGAACTTGCCAAGATGGGCCCCCCGTGGAAGGTGAAAGTCCATCCTCACCAGCTTTGTAATGCTCCTTACGTCTCGACTAAGACCCTTCGTCGTCTTGCAAGTCATGTCATTCCTACCGACCTGGACCATCCACCATCCAAGGCGATCCGGGTGTCCTGGCTGGACTACCCTACACTGCATTAAACAACCAAAATCCCATCCGCATCATTCCGCATCCACATCAGCTCCTTCTCTCCAACCGGTCCTCATGGAGGTCACGATCTTCGCCATGGTCACCGCCAGCGAGGACACCGCCAGCGCCAGCGCCAGGCCCCGCGCCGCGGCGCCCAGCCGTCCGCCGGCGCCCAGCCGCACCGGGCCGTCAGCGCGCGGCGTGGGATCCACCAACTCCTGGAGAGGCGCCGTGGAGGTCGCCGCGGCGGTCCGGCACTGGAAGGGCTGAGGTGATGGCGTGACATGGATGTGTACGGATCTCGTTGTGTTGAGAGGGGGCCAAAAGAGATGTTTCGATAGGAGAAGTGTCACTTGGCCGATCAAAAGGGATGATGAAAAGGCTCTAGGGATGCACTGCCACCCTCTGAGAAAGTGAGGGATATCTTGTTTTTAGGCGCCAGGAGTCCAGGGAGAGGTCAAACCACTTTCTAGGGTGGCAGTGGATCCTTTAGGGAGGGCAATGCATGTATCTTCAGATCTGATCGGGAATGTGTTTGCCCTAGGGCTCCAACCATATCCTCAGAAGGTGGTTAGACCCCCAAAACCCACCCCAACCATCTTCTCACGAGGTAGTTGGAGCCCTAGGGTTGATCAAAAGCTCGTGTTTTTTTTTGGAGCTTTTCGGGGATGGCACGATCGTGAATCCCCCAAGAGTTCGTGGGCCGTGCCGCGCGGAACGCCGCAACTCTCTTGGACCGATGGCGGCAGCTTCGCGCTAGGTCATGGCACGACATTCATCACGGTCACGGCAAGCGTCGCAAGCCAACAACAGCGGAGATTTCGGCCCAAGCTGGGGTGTTGTGTGGCTTTGACATCCATCCAAATGAGTCGATCTGCAAAGAAATGACAGCAAAAGCTGGTGTATGTTGCTAACATGAAGGTAACTGACTGCAAGTCAACGATGCTGTGCAAGAATCAGTTGTAAACACAGAATCAGAAGCAAGAATCAGTTGCAAAGTCTCAGATCCGCTCTTTTGCGTGAGCACAACTTGTTCACCTCTGGGCCGTGGCTAACAGTTAGCTATGGCTTTCAAGCCACACCTCCAAGCTTGCTCTATTGGCATGTCTATGACTACAGTGACTACGGCCAGATTATATACTAGCCGTGTTGGCAATAAACTTATAGCTCAGACTCCACTGATATTCTTGTGACATCTTCCGATGTGCACCACTTCAGCTTTAGGTTCCTCCAAAGTTCCAACAGACTCTAAAGGTTAGCCACTGCTGTTCCGACCTCCTGGCACAGGGTCTACGGTCAACCCCTCCCATCCCCTCAAAACCTTCCAACGTACAGCAGGGGCGTCAGTGCTTTTTGGACCTCCCTCATGTCTTCTCCCAACGAAAAAGACACAGCACATCCTCCGCTTCCACAACCGCTCCTCCTCCATGGTCCACATCCTAGAGCAAAGACCTTCTTCGAAGTCAGGAGCCTCCAGGGAGAGGTCACCAGGTACAAACGAACATGCAAACGGCCAGATCTGGGTTTCTTGCAGTAGCGGAACCTCACCAAATCTCGAGGTCATTTTTTGAACCCGTCGTTTGAAGAAGTTTGAAGCATCCAGAAAGAAAACCAACACATGTTTGTTGAGAATTTGACTGTGTTTGTGCTTCGTCTCGAAAGAAGAGAAGCATCCCTTCAGTGGATGCTTAGGCCCTTGAAAGACCTTGAAAACCAAAGACATCCGAAGAAGAAACAGGAGGTGCCATTCACTTCCACATATCCCTAGGGCTCCAACTACCTCCGTTTCGAAGATGGTTGGGGTGGGTGCCATGGGGGTCTGTGCCCACCGGTCACCTGAGGATATGGGGCGTTCGGAGTCCTATAGGGTATATACCTCCACCGGCGGTTCGGTGACCGAGCCAACCGGGCTGGTGACCGGACACCCCGAAAACGGAGGGTTCAGGTAGCAACCATCATTTTACTATAAGGATCTATAATGGATTTTACACTACAAAGCCAGGTCAATCGAACTTATTTTAATGGTCGAACGGCAGGCGACCGGGAGAAGTGTGATTTTTAGGTATCGACACCGAGCAACTGGGTGGCTCAGTCGTCGAACGAAGCACAGGAAGAAGGCACTGCCAGGAAGAACCCTTCACATGTGAAAGTCACTTTTGTGTGGTTGAATTATCTTGAATTTTGATCAACTGTTCGACTCTACTCTGAAACCACTGTATACCACTTCCAATCCCACGCTGCTCCGTCCAGTAGCCTTCTTCCAGCTGGCCCCCTCCACATGCTGCAGCATCTCCTCCTGTGGATTTCAAGATTCGGGCGTGACCATGGTGCTCTTGCGGCTGAAAGCCAAAACAAAATTGAACCTCAAATGGAATCACCTCAGAAGCCCTCAAGACTGTAGCGTGGGAAGCTGGCTCAACTTCCTTCACAGACTGTACAAATGAACAAAGTATTGGATACACAGGCTGTATACAGGCTCCTTCCAAGTATTAGAGTTGTTCTATATTGGACCGCAGCGATAAAGCTGGATCAGCTTCTGACAAACCGCTCGGCTCTATCTGGCCAGATCTCAGGAAAAACAAAGGAACCACCGAGAAGAGGAGGCAGCCACCGCCGCGAAGCCTGCCACCGAGGAAAGAAGGTGCCACTGTGGCACGGAAAGCAGAAGAGCACAACAGGCATCTCCGAGATGGAGGACCACCTGGAAGTTGGAAAATTTCCAGATGGCACGAGAGAGCCAGAGAGGACAAATAAATGAAGAGTGAGAGTCTGGCGCTTGTCTTTTTGCATGATGGAGTCTGGCACGTTGCGCAGTTTCGGCCACAAGTTCTTGGCAGCTTCACTACCGCATACTGGCTCTGCATCTGACACCGCAACAATTGCCAGGCTGAGCTGGAATAGACTGCTCAAGGTTTTGCACTTTGTGTCTTTCCAGCATCGTGACTTCGTGAATTACGTTGAGCTCTGGATGAAGGGTCATCTCTAGAGAATACGTAATGCGTGCGAGTCTTCTGCACTTCCTGTCAACAGGTATCTCCGGCACACGCGGTTTTCTTGAGCCAACAAGGAATTGAGCACGCGCACCTACCGGCTGTCTCAGTTTGGCTACCGGCTGTCTCCATGAGCGCTTGGTGTGCCTACCGACTTGTGGGGCCAAGGACTCAGAGACTCCGCACGAGCTAGTCTATGGCATCGAGCTTGAAGATTGAGTGGAGCATTACCTCCATCTCTGGAGATCTGAGATAGCCCTTGCTCTGGAGATAAAGAGCCAGCGACAGCCCTTTATGGCATCGAGCCTCCACGCGCTGCTCGATGGCTTTGGATCGATTCATGAAAACTCGTTTCGTGGCGATGTCCACCTGATTGGTATCTCGATGAGTTCTTGGTGAACCGCAATCCCCCAATCCAGTTTGGGCAGGTGAGCCACTTCTTCTCAGGTGAGGAGTGACATGGAGTGACATGGAGCCACCGTTAGGCGATCCAAACTCGGAGCCCTTTATATTCTCTTCATGAGGTATGTGGTCAACACTGTCCGTGACCAATGTCAACACCAAATGCCCAAAACCGCCTATAAAACAAAGGTATTGAACACAAAAATGAAAAAAAACGACGGTTCGGCTATCCCAGTTTGGTAACCCATGGTCACTTGATACCTCTGACCTGGTGCAGCTTGGACCAGGTGATCTTCCGGTCCAACGCGTTCCGCGACGTATAGCGTTTGGAGTCGTCCTGGGAGGCACCCACCGGCTCACCGACCTGCTCTTCGAAGAGCTCGGGATGCAATGGGTGGATAGTGCCTGGGCTTCCGTAGATCCCAAACACGAGCTGTTGGGGACTGCCAGCCAGGACGATGAAGGAAACCCCCCACCCCAATGTAGGCATGCATATATGGCAGTCCCATGGAGTGTCTGGGGATGGGACTGGACCATGTATACGGAGTCACCAAGGGTCTGAAGGGGCTGAGGTCCTGGGGCTCGTCCCTGCCCAGTGTGGGGGGCACCCCGACTTCAGTTCGGCACCCCGACTTCTGTGACTCCTGGATTATTTACCCAGATCCGGGTGGATTTAAGATGTATTAAGGGTCAATGTAGGCAAGTACTCCAGTCTCATGGATGAGCGAAAAGGGGAAGCTCTGGTCAGCTCTGGTGTGTTGTTGAACCCGCATTCTGTGCCAGGTCCAGGTCCAGCAGCTGGTGGACTGGAATCGACCCAGTTCTTCCAGTGGTGATGCTTCATGAACTTCACATCGGTAATGCATCGCTCGGTGACGGGGACTGTGTCGACGTTTCGCTCCGTGCACGGTGCACGGTGTCGCGGAGTGGCAAAGAATACGACCCCCCAACACACAACTGATGGGACTGCTCATGGCGGCCTATACTATACATTCATGATTCATTCATTCATTCATCCTTTTTCTTCCGTTTTTCCTACCGGGACCCTAATGTATTTCAATCAACAAAAACACACACACAAATTTTGCATATATACTTGATCCCTTCTCAGGGCCTAGATACCTAGAACATCCTAGAACCACTGAGACCCAAAACATGGTCTTTCCCTGTCAAAAGCAGTCACGTCGACGGATCCTTCTCACCACGGACACCCACCCGTCGAGGCTCGGTCAAACGACGACACCAGCAACGAGGAGGGTGCTCGTTGCTGGCGTCCAGCCCGTCGCCGAAAGAACACATAAAAATTTGTAGGGCTGCTGGCCGCCCCCTCCGTTTCGGTTCGATGGGCCAGGGGTGGGTGGATTTGCGGGGTCTGTGCCCACCGGTCACCTCAGGAGATGGGCCAGGAGCCCAAACGGGAATATCCAACAAAGCTCCCAATGCTTGGACCTCCTGAAACGAAGGTCTGGCATCAAAACCCCCCGTCCCATCTGAAGCGAAACAAAGCTGTGACTGGAGCCTCACACGGGCGTAGGGATTGGGTTCGACCCCTCCCTCCCCGAACACAGAGGATTCGTACTTCGGCCACTGGAACAAACTGGATGGAGCACGACTGTCGGAGTTTGGAAAATGAAGCGCGGGACTCATGGGTGTCAATCATCACACGGCTTTGGAAAGCACTCCCATTGACATCATTCCTTCCATAATTACCTCGCCTCCTCTTCCCGGCCCTGTTTCCGCTGCCCCGCCTGACATGTGAGGAAATGGGCATTCCTTAGGGTTAGACAGCAGCACAACGGGCCAAACGGACACTTCCAACTGGTGGGAAGAAGCAGACCTACCCTCCATCAAAGCATGCGACCCAATATACACCCCTTTGAAGCTCTTGGTCGTTGTGGGTCTTTATGGTTTTATTCTGGGTCAAAACCATCAGAAGGTTGGAACTTGGAACCCAACGGCCAAGTAACTTAGTGGCAAACAGTTTTTCTTGGCGTAGAGATCCTAGTGATTCGTCCAGATTGAAATTCTGCAAAAGCCTAGTGACTTTCAGGGGTGTTAGGATTCATTTTCACCCACTGTGACAACACTACGTGGATCACTGCTGCCAGATGCTCCTGGAGGGCTCTTTGTGTTTGAAGGAGACCTGTTCTTTCCTTTCTTCGGAGCTGCTCGATTGGTTGGGTCGGAGGTCTTGCTGGGCCAAAGCGCGCCACGTCGAAGGGCACGCATATTCCCCATGGTCCTCCTCCTAACCCCTCCCGTAGAGATCAGCTTCGTGACAGGGCATGACGCTTCCTTGAGGCCTTCTGGGCCATCTACCATCCGGTAAGAAGTGTCCAAAGCCGCCATCGTCATGCGGATCCCCAAAAAATCGAACAGTAGGTCCGATAGAGCAGTACGGAACTCTGCCATATCCAAGTGAGCCAGTGATGCCAATGCTCGCCACAATTCTTGGCCATTGTCATCGGCACATGTTCGTGCGAGCAGGAAAAGATGGCCTACTGCCCGTACTGTTGAAAAACCATGGTGCGCCAGCGGCATGCATGTCCGAAAGAGCTCCTGTCTCTCTTCTGCCGAAGCATCTCCCATGCCTTGATGTCCAACAATGAAGACCATGATATGGCATGCTCGAAGGAACACTGCACCTTCCTGTCCATTGGATCTCTCGGCAAACTCAGCCTCATCCTGAACGAACAGCCCCAGGAGCAAGTATAGAACTTTGAATTGGTACATGCCAACATGTGGCGGCTGAGACACCACCAAGACAGGCACAGCCTGGCTTTTCTGCTGCGCAGGAATCGTGTGAGGTGCGATGCCCTGAGCAATGTAGGGTACCCCCGCATCTTTCTTCATACCGCAAGCGCAATCCTGCATATCGGCATGTCCCTGGATGCTGCCCTTGCCATGAAGCAAAAAGCCCTCACCTTGAAGCTCGATGCCTCTTCGACGCACCACCTGGCCTCTACGGTTGCCGCCAGTGAGCCCTCCTGCTTTCTGAGGCGCCCTCGGAGGGGGCGCGAGCGTACGGAAGCCGCTGTCCCAAGTGGGCGTACGGGCTAATTCGCTGCTATTTACTATTTACAGTGCATTCACTCAGCTTGAGATCTTCGATGTGCATTTCGACTGCGCTCTCTTGTGTTGCCACCACCACTATCACCACAACCATCACCGCCACCATCACCAGCACCACCGCCACCAGCACCACCAGCACCAGCACGAAGACCGCGCACAACCAGCACCAGCACGACCACGACCACCATCACCCACACCCCACACCCCCACCCTCACCACCGTGAGACCACAGTGACCACTATCACCATCGCCACCATCATCATCACCACCATCACCTCTCTGTGGAGCCCAATACGTCTAGATCTCTAGACCTTAGACGTTTAGGCACTGTTTGGGGTCTCTTGCCGGGTCAATTGTGTTTTTGTCAGGCAACGCCTTTCCGTGTTGGTCGGTTCTCCAACTTCCTCATCACGCGAACACATACACACACACCTTGACATGAACAAGTATGTTCTGTAGTATAATTTCATGGTTGGATATGTGAGATACATGAATGGCATGTGAAATTGTTGTTTACCCCTGGCTAGCTTGTTAGGTAAGCAAAACCAGACATGGAAAATCTGCTTTGCAACATAAGCGATACTATTGGAGTTCCGTAGGTGTAAAGGACCAGTTCCAAAGCTGTGCGCCGCTTGCCATGAAGAACTCTGTCACTATCCGGGGCAAGGTCGTGGAATTCAACAAACGCACAGTCCCTACAGTTGGTTTTGATTCTGAGGTGTTAGTGTCTATGGGATTTCGATCTACTAAAGCTGCTCAGTCGGTCTTGCGGGTTGGCACAAGGGCTGTTGGAGTCTTAGCAACGCGGCGGACGTCGCTGCATGCCGTCAGCAGGGGGGTCGGCTCACCGCATGCCGTCTAAAACCTGTTGCCCACCGCATCAATGCAACTGGAAGATGTTGGGTCAATCCATTAAACATATCCTAGGCTGACACCCTCCGTTTCCTTGAAGAAAAACTTTCAGTTCGTTTTGAGGAACCATTTGCCCATACTTGCCCAGTTCCAAGGTTTTGCAGGTAAACCACTTTTCCTGGGTATAGGTATCAAGGTTAAACAAAATCAGTGAACGCTCTGAATCATGCATTGCAAAAGTCGCCCATAGTCTGCCTCTTCAACCACCCCAGCAAAGCAGTATGTCCCATACTATGTATCCAGTCGAGTGCTTGGGAATGTAAAAAAATAACATCATCACCCCAACTCCACACCGTCAAGTCGTTTCTGAAACCTCCATCCCCGCAAGGCCTAGGCGCTTGTGGATAGGCATGGTGCATCCATTGCTGGAATAGCCGGCCATGCAACGGCACCTTCCAGCAGAACTCGTCTTGGATTGGAGTCTTTGAATCACATATGGCTTGGGTCTATCCTATTACCAGTAACAGTGGATTTTTGCTTTGGTTCAGTTGCGGCCTTTGTTAATTAGTGATCACTGACTGAGTGACTGACTGTCACAGGTAAGTTCGGACAAGCCCAACATATGGGTTTGTGGGGGAGACCTCCTTCCTCGCCACTGGCTGGGTAAACAGGTCTATTGTCCGACCGTCCAGGTGGCTGAACTGGAAAGTCTCGTTATATGAGGCCACAGCCATATGCCGCACCCCGAAAGTGTTCTTCACCAGGGGGGAAGGTGAAAGACGCACTGGAGCTGATCCCCAGGCCTGAAGACAACACTCTGAAAGCACCATAGCTGAAGAAACTTCCTTCTATATTGGCAGATCCAAACATGATGAACAAGTACAAAAGCAAAGTCTAGACCAATTTCCGCCAAGACCACAATAACAAGCCATACAATTAGCCACTGAACACGGCCCCCTGAAGGACACACAACCACTTACCCAGCTTTTTGCTGGTGAAACCTAGATCTTCTCTGAGCCCACAACCTCCTGGCCCATCTCCTCAGGTGACTGGTGGGCACAGACCCACCCGCCGCGCCTGTCCACCGTGGTGCTGCGCCACGTCCTGCAGCTTCCGGCGGAGCGCTGGAGGCACCACGCTGGAGCGGTTGAGGCTGCCGAGGATCTGCGGCACCGTGGCCTCCGGGTGGAGCGCAGCGGAACGCGGAGCCCGGAGCGGAAGGAGCCTCGCTATTCTGGGGTTCATCCAATGCAACAAAAATAACACACACACAGGCAAAAACAAACATCGCTAAATATTTATATCATCAGAATCATCATCTCATATGAAGTAGGGTGTTCTGACAGCTGCCTTTTAATTCGCATCAAGAACTCACAGCTGATCACCCCTCCCGCTCTCCCGCTCTCCCTCTCCGTGGTGAAAACCATGCCCACGCCTCATGAGTTCCCAATTGCTCCTCCAAACTCCGCATCTTGGCTTCGCACTCATCGATGCAGCACACCGCCACATAGCCTCGCCCCCGCCCCGGTGTCACTCCAATAGCCCCGGGGCCGCCGGTCCAGCCCCGTTGGACCTTGAGACCCGGGCTGTAGGGGGTCTGTGCTTGGACCGAAGTGGTCGGTGGAAAGTGGGGGAAAACATGGACACAGAACTGGACCCTTGGATGAAGGGCGGGGATTCATCCACTTCGTCAGTTCGTCACCTTTCTATCGAACCGAGGCCATTCTTCCCATCCCCGACAAACCAACCACTTGCTAGCAAGAGTAACTCCAGCTAGCTGAAGCTAGCTGAAGCTGAAGCTAGCAACGACAAGCCTCATGAGTCCCCACCAGTGCTCGCGTAGGTGGTGCTGTCGATGAGTTTCAGACGGTCCAACTCCGGGGTCCCATGGGTACTAAGGGGGTGCGAAGAGGAAAAACACACATGAGGTCAATCCAAACAGTCAACAGTCTAGTTCGCAGTGGCTCTTGAACCCTATCTGGAAGTGGCTCGGTAAATCCAATGCGTGTTCTCTTTCTGGTTGGGGGGTGATCTTGGACCAAAACATAAAGGTTTTTTTGGAGGATGCTCACAGTCTAATCACATAGATCCTTCTTATTGCACTCCGTCAGGACTCTTGGCTCATGGCTCCCAGGTGGTGGTTGACAGGCTTTGCCAACAAAAATAGTCCTTGGGATTTGAGTGACGGATAACATGTTGCAAAGTTTGGATTCAAACGCTTCAAAGACCATCCCCCTACCATTGCTGAAAGCCTCAAATGACTTGCCTGAAGCTTGATTCACCAGCTCCATACCTACCCAAATGCCATCGCCGATCGACCTCCCATCGAATCCATCGAATCCTCGGGTTCGAGTCGGCTCGACGTCGGCTCGACAGCCTGACGAGGCGATGCAGTTGGAGGGCCCCAGGATGTAGTTCGGCACGATCACACGCATCACCTGCCGAAGGTCGAGCGAGGAACCGGAACCCATAGCCGCAAGTCTGCGCTTCGGCCGGCGCCAGCGCTTCGGCCGGCGCTTCGGGTGACCGTCTCAAGGACCCCCGTCACCGAAGAAGTACCTATACCAGCACCCGACTTCACAGGTCGCCGATTGGGCCCGGTTTCGGTGCTGCTATGGGAGAGTCTATAGCTATACCTAGAATACCTCTTCTTGGGCAAACATTTCTGCCTATTATGGACTTTGCCCGTGCTTAGGCGTTCTTGCCCCCTTTGGGCGTTCTTGTCCTTTTGGTGGCATTGCTCCAATAGATGAGGATCCACCCACCACTGATTCCAGGAACTTTCTTGGTGGGTACATTTGTTTGTCAGGAATTCACTTATATAATGTTTCTCTTGTGATTTCTTTTGTATGTTTTTAGTTGTTCTATGCTTTGATTCATTGCTTTAATATCTTTTCGCGTAGGTGTTCTTCCCATCACTTAGGCGTTCTTGCCCGTTACTTGGGCGTTCTTGCCCGTTACTTAGGCGTTCTTGCCCGTTCCCCCCCTCACTACAATCAGTAGTTGGGCGGACAACGGAATGGTAGCCTTTTGGGGGGAGTGAGCGACATGAGCTTCAATAACTTTAGACTGGGGATTAGCGTCAAGTGGCAGGCGTTTGTTTTCTCAATGTTTGTCATTCAAATGTTGGCTCTGCCTCCTGCATGTAAGAATGCATGTGACTGTGCCTCGGCGTTTTTGACCCTCGAGGCTGCAGCTGCAGGGCGTTCTTTGCAACAATCGGACTGAATTTTCTGCCTAAATGGCCTTGGGCGGAAATTATTGCCTAACGAGGTTCTAGGTATAGCAGGGTCCTCCAACCTCCGGCGAGGCGAACACCGCGAGGTCGACTGGTTCAGTCTCCCGTGCGTCGGACGGACGTCCGCGAGAGGTGGTGCGACGTGTCTCGGGCGGCCTCATGGGGGGAGAACCCGCAGTGGTTGAAGAACCCGAACTAGACTATATACCCTAGAAGTCCAAAGACTATATTTTGACCGGCTGAAGTAAAGGAAGTTCCCTTTCAGGTCCCCTAAAGACCATTCTTTTTATAGTCTTTGACTCCCAGGGCTATATGTACCCCTGTAGGGTCCTAGTTCAGGTCACTGGCTACCTCTGTAGGAAGGTCTCAGGATGGAGGGAACGAATTTTCGGATGGTCTTTGGTCAAGTCAACACACTGGGTTGGTCCATGAAGATGGGCTTGTGGACAACCACAAGTGGCCTTGGCGAGCTCAGACTGCAAAGGACCCGCACCAACGCAGAGAGATCCAGCAGGGGACATGGGTTTCAATGTGATTCCCTTCTTTTTAACCTATAACCCTAAGAATCGAGGAACCTCAAAGGTGAAGGTTTGGTTCGGGTCCAAACCCCTGCGTTCTGCAGGGTCCAAAACCTCCAGTTTGGAGGGTCCAATGATTCTTAGGGAAGGAAAACCAATATGCAGGTGGAAAGGTTGGATGCCGCTCCATCAACTCCTGCATCAGGCTCAGGGAGTCCTAGTCCCTTGCGACTGCGTTGCTTTTTTGCGGGCTGTTCATGTGATTTCAGATCTTCGCCTGCCTTGCAAGCACGACTTTCACCGCTCCAATTATACCAAAGGAGTCACAAGACGGGGTGCCGAACTTGGAGGATAGGGGTCCCCAGAACATCCACTCACTGGCTGGGACTAAAAACCACCCCTTTGTGATAAACGAGAAGCAAAAGGACATCGATCTAGATCACTTCTGTCCTAGGCCCTTTCTATGTGACCGAACCAAGCATGCTCAGGATTTGAAACCGCTAAGGTGTGTATTAGACGTCCAAAACAGAACAAAACCCGTGGTTTCAGAGTAGATGGCACAGACCCATCTAATGTCCTTTAGATTGGGTCTATCATTGCACCATCTCTTGTGGTCTGTGCCCTCCTCTCAATCCACTCGCGACGCTCGCCTCACGCGACCTGACCTCCGCCCGCCTTGGGGTCTGACTCATCCAGTGCCCCCAAACGCCGCAAATACGCCACGCTTTCGCCTCAAGGGGCGGCGTGACAAACGGAGAAGACCAACGGCCGACCGTACGAGGGGTGGGACTTTGGGGTTCCATGTCGTTTGGTGTATCGTTCCCAGACACGAACGACCAGTCTGGGACTGCCATAGACTTTCCCATCAATCAGGTCCAGGGGTGGTGAAAGGGGGGTCAATGGGGCGGCAAGATGGCAGTCCCATGGGTCGTGTCTGGGGTTGGATTTTCAAGCGCGATGGGTCCTGAGGAAGATCTTTGGGTCCTTCTGAACTGCCACGGCGCTGGAACAATTCCCCCAACTTCCGGGTGGCTAGGTTTTGAATGGTTTTGAATCATCAAATCCCATCAAACATCAAGTTTTTGGCAGCTATTTGGTAACGCTTGGGGACAGAAGGATTTCGGGTTTTAATTTCTGGGTTTGTGGGACCGGGGATAGGATTTGAGAAGTCAACGTCTGACAAATTCAATACAAAAGGCTTAAAAGATTCTGTGAATGGCTGATTGGAGACCACCTGAAGCTGTCCAAAAAATCGCTACCCATTTTCCTGATTCCTCGGGGACCTTGCTACTCACTGGATACGCCCTGGTTCCGCGACCCGCATGCACCCTGAGTTCACCACATCCAGAACCTGGAAATCCATCGTCGACCCGCCATCGTCCCATGCCATCGTCTTCTTCGTGGGTCTCGATTTCCCGGGTTCCCTCGTCCACAGCTTCCCAGGTCCACGCCAGGTGGCTGAACTGCCAGTGGCCTGCAAGCACACTCCGGAACACGCTCCGTCGGACGCCGCGGTCTCCGGTACGAGCAGGCAGGTATTCCAGGTGACGGAAGGCATAGAACATGATTATCCCGTTTGGGCTCCTGGCCTACCTCCGTTTCGAAGATGGGTCTAACCACCGAACCTGAGGATATGGGGCATTCGGAGCCCTAGGGTATACCATATTATACCAGCACCCGAGGAGAACAGGTCTCTTCGTTTGAGAGTTTGTTAGGCCTTAGAAGGTCTCAAGTGGTGACCCGTAGAGTCGGGTGCTGGATTTGGAGTCGGTGATCATATCCCAGTCCCACCGGTGTCAAATGGAGCTGTCATGCAATTCTGAATTCATCTTGGGGGCCCCAGACCATGAACCATCCCAGACCGAACTGGAAGAGTTACACACAATGGAGGGGCCACTTGGATGGGAATTGCATGTAACTCTTCCAGTCCCTTTCGATCCTTCGTCTGGTCGACGGGTAAGTATATGATCCAGCATCGATCCAGCCATCACATCACATGCCCCATCCGTCCCCGTCCGCGTCGCTTTTCACGCGAACCGCGCGCGCGCGCGCCCCGTCGCCGCCCCAACACCACCAGCTGCGGCGCGCTCGGAGGACGCACGGGAGTCGCGAGCTGGTCGTTGGACGGAGCGGTGAGAAAAACATGTATACGAACAATCACCACCACAACCCGAATCACCTGGACCCGACTTCAAGTACTCTAGAAACTGGGACATGAACATGACCCTATACTGGTGCCCAGGAGCTCCAAGGTGAGACATCCAGGAGCTCTCGGAAGTCTCGGCCTCCACGAACGGCCATGGCATAGAAGTCGCTCAAGCGCACACGTCCCGTGTTGGGATGCTCCTCGAAGGTCAGTTGATCCGGTTGAGGGACGGTGGCGCTACAGGGTCGGTGGGTGTTGACGCGTGGGTCCGTCGAAAAAGCGACCAAATGACATGGGGTCACCTTCATCTTAAGAGTTTGTCAAAGCAAAAAGCATCATATAGTACTAAACAGCATCATCAATTCAGGTTGGAGATGTGTAGAGATGTGGTTTTCCGGGGTCCGGGATGAGATCATGTTGGAGATGTGTGGAGTGGAGTCTTTCGCAATGCGTTTGTTTAATAAGATGTATTTTGGGAACAGGATCATCCTTTGGCTCTCCCTTACTCAGGCGACTTATACAATCCGGGAGTCACAAAGCTCGGCATGGTCTTTAGCCCCATCCAGTGAGTGGATGTGACAGGGGCATCCGGAGGAAGTTCGGCACCCCTATCTCTGACTCCTGGATCTTCATGGTTGAATCATTTCACCATCATTGATTTGAGTAGTATCGCCAAATGGGCGAAGGAAAATATAGCAACCACTAGCAACCTATGGCAATGTCCCATTGCCTATTTGAACGAAATCAACCAAATGTGAAACAAATCCAGTAGAAACCAACACTCAACCAGACTCTAAGGCTTTAATCACCTTGAAGGTCATTCGCCCCTCCACCCCAGGAGCTAGCTGGAACACTCTGAAAGGAATCCCCAAACCAACCTCACAGGCACCAAACGAAGGGCTTCGTTTTGGCTGGGACACAGGAGCCGAGCGAAAAACACCCAAAAGCCCTACAACCACCACCCACCCGCGTCGGCGCGTCGGCGCGTCCCTTCTCTCCTCTTGCTGCAGCAACTGGTGCTTGAGCTCCGAACACTCCTGGCTTTGCCACCGGCCATAGCGTTCCTCACCACGCGGCGGCCGCGTACCGAGGCACTGCCGAGCCGTTTCGCGGAACCGCGAAACGAGCCGAGCCGTGCCCTGGGCCGTGGGGTGGACACCCAGGAGTAGGGCAGTGACACCCCGAAGATCGATCGATCCATTTCCCAAACACTCCAGACGTGTACCATCATATGCCTATTATATATTGAACCCCCAAACCACCACCCCTGGCCTGATCGGCATAATTCTATGGCAGTCCCATGGAGTGCAGAGGAGTCTCCGAGGTCTGCAGTCTCCGGTGCCATGATCCCATGATCCCGACCCGAGGTCTGGGGTCGCGATCCGGGCACACACACCGACCGAAAGGAATCGAGACGACCAATGGAGCATTGGTATGACCAAAAATTCCGAAGTTTCTGATCCCAGGATACGGATCACCAAACAATCACAGATCGAGCATGGAACCACAATGAAGGAGGTTCCTTCCATGTTGGGGAACAGAGTTCATTTGCTACCAGGTTTTTGGAGTGCTAGAGCTATAGCCCAGACAACCCATGGGACTGGCAGGACGGACTGCCGAGAAACGGCCAGGGGTGGTTGGGTGGTGCCAGGGGGGTCTGGCTTGATCGGCAGTCCTATGGCAGTCCCATGGTGGGTGGTGTGGACCCCATCTGTCCACAAGACATGTCATGTCTGAGACGTGTCAGTGCCATCTTTAGTGGTCCCCAAATAGATTGAAACGGTTTCCAATACATTCTTAGTGGGGGATAGTGGGGGTCTATATACTCTGAAACCACTGTATACATGGTGTACGCGTGGTGGCAAATCCCCAGCATCGCCCCATGCTCTCGCTTCACTGTGCTCAGCCACTCCTATGGATCGCCAGTTGAGGTGTAGCTACCATGAAACCGACTCTCGCGAAGGCATGCCGTCCTGCCAAAAGCCATCACGAAGGGAAATCACAATCCGTAATCATCCGCATCAATAGGGCAATTGGAGATTCAGTTGGAACAGGCCAGCGGCTAGCTAGCATTCCAGCAAACCATCTATAATGCGATCCCCCCCGCTTCTCTCCGACCGCGTGGCGCGCGTCGGTTGCGTCGGCAGGGCCAAGGGACGCCCGCAGCGGCGACCACGGCGGACAATTGGGAGAATCTCAGCGGCGACCGCGCCGGATCTCCGGAGCGGGACGAAGATTCCCGCGGGAAGTGGGGGTGCAAAGGCAACACGAAAAAGCCAAACGCTATAGGTACTACTTAAGGTGTTTGTTTGAACACGGGTTGAACTACTGGTTGAGTTGTGGAAGTGATCACTTTCCTGTGCCTGAACAGATGATGAAGTTTTTTCATATATTTGAATGTTAGGGACACATTCGTCGCACCAAAGAACCGAGGTTTCTCGAGATTGGTCCCTCTATCTGCAAGTCAGGAAGGTTTCGAGCAGCTCCATAGCTGCTTGAGTTCGCGCTTCATGGGTTGGCTTTGATTTGATCGCTTTGGAGATGTCTTTTTGTAGAGATTCTTTTGCCGTTAGTGCACCCAACATCTGTCAGTTTGCTTGGACGAACGTAGCTCCTGTATACTTTGGAAGATGGGAGTGCCACACATGATCACATGGAGTTTTGGTCGGGAGACCCCATGAGACCACCTGGCCTCTTGCTTCGATCACCGGCGGGTACGGCCTCGCAGCCACCGAACCGAACCCAGGGGGGTGGGTTACAAGGTGTCGGTCTGGGACTCGCACGAGTTCATGCGTCACCAAAGAACACCCCGCCACGAACGCTGACATTGAGGAGTCAATATAGTCAATCTCAAGTTTTAGGTTGAAAACTACTGTGAACCTCGGAAGTCACACATGTCACATGAGCCCATACCCTCTGAATCCAAGTACCTTCTCAGGTACAGTGATGTGTTCGACACTCTTGTGTGCCAGGAGGATCCAGTCGTACCTTCTGCGATGGTGAAAAAAAATGCAGCACGTATAATTAGTAGAGTTAACTGATGTCAGTATCCCAACAGGATCCACATGCACATACCCTGTGAGCAAGTGTTTGCAGGGAGACTCTGTTGGAAAAAGGAAACCGCCGGGTCGGGTCCAATCACTTTCGCCCGGTCGGGTACGATGGGAGTGCATCCTCCAGCAGTCACGTTCGACGGGGTGCTATCCATGGAGGTAGTCGGTGTGCCCCTGTCACATCCACTCACGTAAGGGGACCAAACACCACCCCGTCTTGTGACTCCTGGCTTAGGGATATATGCATCCTGCGGTAGCTTCTCATACCGCCTAACCCGATGAAGAAAAGTGACCTGTCACGACGAGACTCCCCTGCTTGAGGAGAAAATCCCCCGACCTGTCACGACATGTCGCCATTGCAAAGAGTCCCGGTGGACACCGCCCGGACGTTCGACGTGCCCAAGCCGCGTGAAGTTCACGAGTCCCGGTGCCACCTCCTGGCAAGGCCAGACCGACTTAGGAAGAAAGCTGGGAAGACTTTCATCTTTGATGCGTCAGTCCTTTTCAATCCCAAAACACACACTTGCAACAGGACACACCAGGACCTGGTACCAGGACCTCGTGACCGTGTTTTTGAGATCGGATGTGAGGTCACAAAAATCGGCAATTGAAAGGTCGGATGAGACTCCATAGAACTGAAGCTCCTTGTCACACACCCGGATCAACATGGATCCACATATCCAATACCAACACCCTCCAACAGGTCTCCTCTAGAGGCTTTTGCTGACCTAAAAGTCGAAGGTGGTGACCTGTTGGAGGGTGCTGGTAGAGGTGGTGTGTTCGACACTAGAGAAAATGGCACCACCACCCTGGGGTCCAAAGAGAACACTTCATAGCTGCCAATTCCGGATGACACCTCGGACACTTAAAGAAGAACTATCCCTGGACACCCAACAAACAACCAGAAACAACCAGCAGTCACGTTCGACGGGGGTGCTATCCATGGAGGTTAGGGGTGCCTGGCTGGGACGAGCCACACCACCCCGTCGAACGTAACTCCTGGACCTTGGATGTTTCAACCTGCCAACCACAGCCGTATGCCCGAAAACCTGAGCCGAACGTTCCGCTCCACCGTCCGTCTCATTCAGTCACGGAACAACGGAACATCCCGACGTTACAGTCCCAGACGCTCCATGTCTGTCATATATGCCTACATTGACCCCTCAAACCACCCCAACTGATCGGTAAATATGCCAGTCCCATGGAGTGTCTGGAAGTGGCTGCCAGGGAGTTCGGTGCACAGGAACTCGGAACACCTGCGACACCCGGTAGTTCCGAGACTTGAGACCCACATGGAACCTTCCAACATCTGAAAACGGGCAGTCCATGGGTCGCCCGGTTTCCACACCGCATCGCCCCCGTCAAAGGTGTCCGCCTCACCCCACGGCGCGCCTGTCGGATCTGCTGCACGAAGGACACCGTGTTGGGCCAAGTGGGGTACTGCTCATGGACCTGGGTCCACGCCCGGTCCGGCCACGGTCCACGCCCGGTCCGGCCACGCGTGGGCTGACCGTACACCGCCACGGCCAGGCTTGGAGACGGACCTCTGGACCCCGGCGACGGTCACCTTCGTACCGAACGGAGAAATTCAGGTATACATATGCCATAGACCCAAGGCATTCCATGTAATTATGCCCACAATTTGTACTTACATTGGGGTGGTTGAAAAGGGGCCAAGTTTCAATGGCATCTATTCCATCATATTCCGTGTATGAACTGTATGGGACACATGAACTGTCTGGGATCTAAGAATACGACACGTGTCCTGAAAAACGGCGGACACCAGTGCAGTCCGGTTTCCCGCCCGTGCCGTGCGAAGCTCCCATCGAAGCATGAAAGACGGAGGGAGGACAGTGAGTCCTAGACCCAAACTCTGCATGTAAGGGATATTTACCTACATTGGGGTGGTTTTCATGGTGAATGTATAGGTCTATAGTCCATTTTTTCCAGAAGTGGGTCACACCCGTATGGCCCTGTCTCAGCTAGCACACCTGCTCTCAGCACTTTGCTACGTTCATAGCGATGGCCTCCGACCTAAGAGCGATGGCCACAGTCCGTGCGTAGCTTCAGAAGCTACGTTCATAGCGATGGCCTCCACCTACCAGGATTCACAAAGGGGTGGTGTTTAGTCCCATCCAGGAGTGGATGTTCTGGGCACCCCTAACCTCCATGGATAGCACCCCTTTGAAACGTCCTGGTAATAGCATCTTTGTTAGGAAGGTCTATGGCCCAGTGACGTCGTCCAGCTTCTGAAACATCTTGCTTCTGGACAACTGCCTCAGGCGTGGGCCGCGTGGGGGGGGGGGAAGGTGCCCACCGGTGAGGCAGTCGCAAAGCACATCGCTTCAGCGTTGGCGAAAAGCTTTCGAGCATAGAAAGACTAAGTCCCAGCAGTCACAAGACGGGGTGCTATCCATGAAGGTTAGGGGTGCCTAGAACATCCACTCACTGGCTGGGACTAAACACCACTCCGTCTTGTGACTCCTGGTCTGTGTTTCTTTTAGTGTTGGACCAAATGGTGGGCTGGAAAGGCATCCCCTCCGACTTGCTGCTGCGCGGACCCTTTCACAGCGGACAGTGGACATGTGTAGACCAGTGTCGACCATGCATTCGATTCCAGCTTCCACCTTCCGCTGAGAATACTCCACCTTCCGGTAGTCCACCTTCCGCAACTGAGTCTCTTTGGGGTCCTATACCTTTCTATAGCCAAGCCTGCAGGACATTTCTACCAGATGGCGATGGGTTCTGTGCCCGAACACGTCGGGTTTTCATGTGTGGATGTGTTCTACTGCCATCAACCCTCTAAGAACTGAGAAACATGTTCGTTGAGATTCATTCCCCCTAGGGCTCCTGGCCCATATCCTCAGAAGGTGGTTAGACCCCCATGGCACCCACCCCAACCGTTGGAGCCCTAGGGTCCATAATATTTATCCACTGCTAGCTTCGGAGAAGGTGATGTGTTCAACACTCTCATGTAGGCTTGGCGGGCTCCAATCATCTTCCCTAGGGATAAAAGAACACCCAAACATCTCAAAACCCAGACCATCCATGGGACTGGAATAGTTGCATACATTTACCTCATTTATTACAGTAACTGTTCCAGTCCCTGGATGGTTTGGGAAAGATATGATCGATGCCCAGTGACTGGGCATCGGAGCCCATGACAAAGCTGGCCATATAGATCTCCAAGATGGCCATGGACCTCGCGATGGAGTCATCGCCATGAAAGTGGGTGTGTTCGTGGGACCTCCAGGACCTCTAGGTAACCTGGATGGTTGGAGGGGAAAAACATGACGAAATGTCCATGAACTCCAGCGTTCTCGCAGTCGGGTACCCTGTCTTTTGCATCTTGAGCCACGAACGAAGCTACGAACGGAGCATGCAACGGGCATCGCGTTCCGCCGGCTCCGGAGCATTCGATCGGACGCAGGGCCTCGATCGGACGCGATGTTCGCTCCACGGTTTCGCACCGGCTCGGGACGGCACCGCAGGTGTTCGGTGCACGGTTTCGCACCGTACCGACATGGACCTGTAGTTAGTGGTGAGGTGCCGCCCGTGTGCTGATGACTTTTCTTCCATGGAAGTGGTGATGTCCTGCATGGAAGAGGCTCAACCAATGCGATAATCAACATGGTTTGACAATATATGCATCCCAGTACAGCTTACGAATCCATGACAATCCCCACGAAGTCTATAGAAGGACGCCGCCTCTTTATGGAGTCAATGGCACCAATTCCATACCTGGAGTCTCAAAGTACCTTTGAAAATGGGCACAAGATGGTGCAAGCCCAAGGGATCCAAGTACCCAGGTGATTGGACACACTGTCATGTATGTTTGGAGGGTCCAGTCGTACCTTTTGAGAAGGTATGACTGGATCCCTAGGGAAGTACCTGTCTCATGCCACTTTTTCTAGAGTAGTGGGGTAGCCGGTAACGTTGGTATAGCTCTATCCCAGACGCGACCGGTCTGGGACCCGCATCATTGACCACATTCACTGACCCCTGAAACTCACCACCCCTAAGGTATGTGAATATGCCAGTCCCATGGAGGGTAAAACTGGAACTTGGGTATCTCCCATTACCAGGGCCAACAGCGGACGATGATGGCTAGCCAACTGTTACACACCAGGGCTCCTGTTCTACCTCTGTTTCGATCATGCTTGGGGTGGGTGTCGGGGGGCCTAACCACTGAACCTGAGGATATGGGCCAGGAACCCTAGGGACAGGTCGACGACCTCATTTTACTGGAGTTGAGTGGCCTCCACCCTAGTAGCGATGGCCTCCACCCTAGTAGTGTCCTTGCTACTGGGTCAGAATATAGCTGTCTGTTTCCTTGATGGTCCAAAAGCACTGCTGAAGGGCTCGTTGACACTCAGACTCTGATCCAGGGGAACACGAAGGGCATCAAAGCTGGCAGCCAAACGTACCTTGGGCCGCGGCCACGCCACGAAAATCTGGGAGGTGACCAGTCAATTGGATGGGAATCTCAACCAACTGGATGATATGATAACCCCAAATCTTGCCAAATTCAGTCAACAGGCGCACGCCGTAGAAAACGGAGCTGCGCTCAAAAAAAAAAGCTCAGCTGCACATAGGCAACTCAACCTCCGGAGCCTCTTGAGTATGATAGTGCCCTCCATGCTAATGTATTAATAAACCCCCGAGATGAAACTTCAAAAGGATTGTCCATTTCAAATGGGTGGGTTTATTCATCAAGAGTCTCATATTATCATGCACCCTGAAGAAAAAACCCTTAAGTAGGGCATACATAGACATGTTTCCAAATACCAACCCAGTGGTTTTTGAGAGTCCATGTGATCCTCTGCCTCAGATCAAGTGAGCCATGGTCCACCTTGTGCGTGAACACGGCGCCCGGTTCGGCCGTTCGGCTGTGGGGCGCCACGGAACAGCTGAACCACAACCTTACACGTTTCAGCCAATCGTGCTTATGGAAGGGTAGGGGGGTGCCCAGAACCCACTGGGGGACTAAACAAAAACACATTGCTTTGGATGTTTTCTGGTTCAGTTTAGGTCTCATCTCCGTCTTGCACCTCATGTCCATCATTCCTTGTGCGATATCGAGGTCCGGGAGGCCAACGGGAAGTGGTTTGCTGCTCAAGGCACATCTGCTTCGGAATGCACCATATTCTCCTCAGGTCTGGGTCGGAGTCGAACGAACAACTTCATCGGACAAAGAATGGAAGCGAAGTGAAAAAAAACGATCTCGCAACAGATCGATTCAAGTGAGAACACATTTCACCGCTGGAATAGTTGCATGAAAACCGATCCAAATGACCTTATCCGTATTTAACTCCCTCAGTTTCCCTGGACAAACATGATTTAACCCTTTTCCACCTAGCCCTGTTTAGTGATAAACACAATCTCCAAAAAAGGTTAAAGGTTATCCACTGACTGACTAGGATAGCTCTTCCAGTCCCATGTTTGTCTGGTCTGGGAGGGGTCAGGGCTTGGACAGGTCACACATCCTACAGGTCCGACTCTCAAGCCGGTTTTGCGCCGGGTTCCCTGGAAAAGACATCCTTTGTTCCACCTTTGTTCCATTAGTGAAGAAACCACATCACCACACCCACCTTTCCTGGCTAGGATGTGGTGCAATCTGGGCAGTTGGGTGACACACAGGGATCACCCGAAAACCTGTTACTCGTTGTGTTTTCTTGTCGGCTGACAGCGGCTGTTGGTGCTAAGAGCGGTTTTGCGGGTGAATTGGAACAGCCACGACCAAGACCAACCTGGAGCTCTGGCTGTGGGTGATTGGTTCCTTTCATCAGCACATGAAAGATGGTTTGTGATGAGCTGAGAATCACTTGTCTTGGATAGAACGAAGTCATGCCCAGCATGAAGAGTTATCTTGGGCATGACTCCATCATCTTCAAGTCCACCACCATCACACAGGATCGCATAGAATTTGTTTGTTTCGCAACGGACTCTTCGAAAATGACGAACCAGCAAGTCATGAACACCCACCTGCCTTACACATGAAGATCCCCATCGAACTGTAAAGAAAATTACACCACCGTAGACCCAAAACAGGTTAGACAACAACGCGTTCCCAAGTCCACTTTTTGAGACATCAACAAGAAGGGAGGCAAGGTGGACAGTGACCAACAAGAAGGAAGACAAGAAGGGAGAGAAAAGGAAACACAAAGAGAGACAAGGCGGACACAATGACCAACAAGAAGGGAGACAAAAGGAAACAGAAGGGAGACAAGACGAACACAATGACCAACAAGAAGGGAGACAAGGCAAAAGAAGGGAGACAATGACAAACAAGAAGGGAGACAAAGGGAGACAAGAAGGAAGATAAGGCGGACACAATGACCAACAAGAAGGGAGACAACAAAGGAGACAAGAAGGGAACAGAAGGGAGACAAGACGGACAAAGCGACCAACAAGAAGTGAGACAAAACTGGAGACAAAGGGAGACAAAAAGGGAGACAAGGCGGACACAATGAAGGGAGACAAGAAGGCAAACAAAAGGAAAAAAGGGAGACAAGACAGACATAATGACCAACAAGAAGGGAGACAACAAGGAAACAGAGGGAGACAAAGGGAGACAGAAAGGAGACAAGGGAGACAAAGAAAGGAAGGCAGAAGGGAGACAAGGTGGACACAATGACCAATAAGAAGGGGGACAAGACTGGAGACACAAGGAAACAGAAGGGAGACAATGCGGACACAATGACCCACAAGAAGGGAGACAAGACCGGAGACACAGGGAGACAAGAATGAAGACAAAGCGAACACAGTGACCAACAAGAAGGGAGACAAGACCGGAGACAAAGGGAGACAGAAATGAGATAAGGCGGACACAATGACCAACCAGGAGACAAGAAGGGAGACAAAACGAAACGGAAGGGAGACAAGACGGACGCAGTGACCAACAACAAGGGGGACAAAACCGAGACCAAAAAAAAACAGATGGGAGACAAGGGGGACACAATGACCAACAAGAAGGGAGACAAGACCGGAGACAGAAGGGAGACAAGACGGACACAATGACCAACAAGAAGGGAGACAAAAAGGGAAACAAAGACAACAGAAGGGAGACAAGACGGACACAATGATCAACAAGAACGCAGACAAGAAGGGAGTCAAAAGGAAGCAGAAGGGAGACAAAAGCAAAAGAAGGGAGACAAGACGGACACAGTGACCCACAAGAAGGGAGAAAAAGACCAGAGACAAAGAAAGAATGAATGGAGACAAGCCGGACACAATGACCAACAAGAAGGGAGACAAAAAGGGAATCAAAAGGAAACAGAAGGGAGACAAGACGGACACAATGACCAAGAACGGAGACAAGAAGGGAGTCAAAAGGGAACAGAAGGGAAACAAAAGCAAAAGAAGGGAGACAAGACGGACACAATGACCCACAAGAAGGTAGACAAGACTGGAGACAAAGAAAGAATGAAGGGAGACAAGGCGGACACACTGACCAACAAGAAGGGAGACAAGAAGGGAGACAAGACCGGACACAAAGGAAGAGAGAAGGGAGACAAGGCGGACACAATGACCAACAAGAAGAGAGTGAGTGAGTGAGTGAGGGAGGGGCGTTCAGCTTGTGTGATGTTGGTGCCGTATGTGTTGATAAGATGTTGAACTGGAGTTGTCATGCTCTCCTTTGCCACACCGGCGTTTCCCTGATGGGAATTGATGTGGAACCGCTGCACGCCTGTATCGGCGAGAATGCACTTTCTCTCTCTGCACTGTCTCGAGTGAGACATGTCTCTAGCAGCTCTAGCGGACTGCCTTTGCATTTGCATTAGCTGAATTTGAATTTGGATTGGCTGTGTCACATCATGCGTGGCACTTAATATTCATTCTTCGGCTTCATGATTTGGCTGCCTGCGCGGCGTCTTCTTTGTGTGTTTCTTTCGTGGTATTCCCTCCTTCAGCAGCGCCAGAAGACGACTCAGAACTGCTTGTTGGCCTGGTTCTGGTAGCGGATCCAGCTCCTGCGCCACCCGTATCAATTTCTTCACGTAATCACGACCTTTGTTGCCCTTGGTGATCTTATTGGTGTTGGCGTTGTTGCCCTGCACTGGAGGACAAACAGCGTCTTCAGATCGCATTTTTGCAGGTGCACGTTCACAAGCTTTATTATGCCTCTGGCAAATGGCCTGGACGATGCTCATAGGCCCAGGCTCTCGACTGCAGTGAGGCAACGTCAGCAGCAGCTGCTGCAGCTTGGGTAGGTATTTGAGGTCGTCGTCGAATATCAGTGACCATATGCCGCGAAGCCTCAAGTCAAGCTGGTAGGGCAACGAGCGGCCGTAAAGTATAAGTCCCTGCTGAAGAGGATGCAAATGATTCCGCTTGTTATCAGCCCTTTCACGATCTCTTATTTGGGCTTTGTATTTCTCTTGATTCTGGCCAAGGTGAAGTGTCTGGTCTATCTTTCATTCTGTCAAGTTCATATACACCTGACCACGATGCGTTTTGTGTATCTAGTTGACGTCTGCATGTGTTGATGTCTGCATGTACTGTGACTTCCCCTAGGCCTTGGTCCAAAAGGTTGCGAGGTCGTCTGCTTCTCGCTCTCCTGTACGTATGTACCACAGCCCTTTCGCTTCGACAGCCTTGAGGAAGTTCGATACTCTCGTCGCCACGCGCCGCATCGTCTCTTTGAATTAAATTCTCGACAGTCGCGTCGACGCGTCTCCCTTTTTCCGCCGGCTCGCCCTTGAACTGACACATCCGTGTACAGCACACTAGTAGTCACAACTCTTTTCTGACACATTCTTGGATTTGCTTTTTGCTGTCCAGGAACCGGGAAAAATATAACGTATTCACCAGGTTAGGGGATTCACCCATATAGGGAAAGGTTGTCAAGAGGAAGAGACCGATCCAGACATCTTCGTGTCTTCCTCTATGGCTTCTTAACAACCAGGAGGAGGAGAACACCAAATTCTGTTGGGCGCGTGTGTTTCCCAGGAAAGGTTGCCTCTAAAAACAACCACTTTCAGAACAAGAGCAAATGTTTACCAACATTGCACTCTTGCATTCAGCTCTGTTTTGTCGAGCGGATTTTCTATTCTTAGGGAAGTCTTCTTTCGGAGGAACAGGAGCACGAGGAGTAGGAGGTGGCCTGTAAACTGATGATCACACCAGGTGGAGGAACTCTGTCATCCGACCAAGCTGCAAAACGGCCTGTATCATCGCGATCCTCCTTCTTCTTCCATTGCAAACATGGCCTCTTGTCGACATCTTCGGTATCAACATCATATGCTTGAGAACGTTTCCGGTGAAGGGGCGGCCTCGTTACAGACGCTTCGGATGAAGGAGCATCACGTTGACCAAACTCCAAAAGAAGTCGCTCCAAACGTATGATCTCATGCGCTGTGATGTCTTGTCCAAAATCTGCGAACTTCGGTATCGGAGTAGCCATTCTCTGCTCAATATTCATGAAACCGAATTGTTCGAGCGCCTCTCCGCGACCCTTCTCTTGCATGTTCACCGATTGTTGTGCATTGCGTTGATATTGGGCAATAGCATATTGTTCATTTTGCAATGCAAATTCTCGAATGATGCTGTAGATAGCCTTCGTGTCTTGCACAGATAGATGAGCTGCTAAAAGAAACACTGAAGTTAAAATATGTAGAGGTGAACCACAAGCCAAGAGGCAGCGCTGGCGTACCAGGACACCGTCGGGGGTCGAAATCTGCACTTTTTTGATATAATCCTACAGAACGACGGGAAATGGTGAAAGAAAGGTGCGCGTACTGATTTGCTGGTCGCATCAAAATTTGGGTGGTTCTTTCTTGAACTCTGCTTTTGCACCTCTTTGACCTGGTGGCCGTGGCTATTGAAACTTATGTAAATGTATACATATAAATATGTTACCGTACTGTACTTACTTTCCTCTGATGAGATCTTGCTGGTTGCACTTGCGCTTGCTGTTGATGTTGTTGTTCTTCTTGTGTATTCTAACTGTAGACGTGTATTCTAGCTCCATATCTGCAAACAAAATAAAACTCTTTACATTCAATCTGCATTATTGGAAAGAGGTGTATTCTAACCGTTCATCTTCTAGTGTAGATTTCAGTGGCTAAAGTCTGAAAACACAATGCCACAGAATAGCCTGAAAAAGCTTCAGTTTCGTTCTGCTGATGAAAAGCGCTATGTTTTCTCAAGGCACATCACTCTCGTGTGACACTATCGTCAGTCTGGGGCACTCTTCTAAGCCACTCTTGTGCGACACTCTTGCGGGACACTGTTATAAGGGACACTCACTATATGACACTCACGTACTCAGATATAATTTGGACACATAAGTTGATAGTTCTGAGGCCACAGCTTCAACAGCTTTGTTCAGAACCGGGATGGTTTCAAATGGGCCTGGGGTGTAAATGGATCTTGTCAACAAAGCAAGAAAGGCCAACAAACCCTCGAAGGTAGAGCAAACATTACAGCTGGATGTTTTTCAACCATTTCATGTTTTGAAAGAATGTTTAAATATTATACCCCAAAGACTCCGACCTGTCATGTGGAAAAAAAGTTGATAAAAAGGGGGATCGGACTCTCTGCCAGGCGATGGATCTTCCCTGGCTTCAATCGGTGAACCTTACAAGGATCGCTCGTTTCTCACACTGGCTGGTGGCTGGTCAGAAGGAACACTGCCAGTCGCGGAAGTCGCGGTCGAGGTCCGGTGGGGAACGCTGCCAGCCGGAGCTCGGCCCGGATGCGGAGGAGGAGGCGGAGGAGAAGGAAGGCAGCTGACATAAAATCGACCAATGCTCACCTGACAGGTGGGGAACTACACAAGTTTTTGGGCTTACGGCTTTGTGCAAGGTGCTCGGCACACCTACAGTACCCTGGCTGTTCTTCGCTGGCTGTTTCGGAAGAACACCTCTGCAGCGGCGGCGGTTCAGGAAAAGCTGCAAACTATACATTATATGCATGGATGTTAAAGCTTGGAGGGGACACAAACTTCTTCATCTTCTTCCCTCTCTTTTCCACTCTCGCAGTGAAGATGATCGACAACATGGATTTTGTCGCTTGCTCATTTGAGCAGGGATGCTGTAAAATATAAAAGTTGTTATCATTGTGCCAAAATGCCTACGGGGCGTCGACACCCCCAAGCAGAATGTCTACGCCAACCTTTAATCAGCCACCAATGTAAACCCTTTCATCTCAAAAAATCAGTTCATTTGGAAAGATGTAGGGCACACTTGTGAAACATGCAGGATCTTTGGGAGATGAGAACCTGAACCGTGTCCCTGGACAGAGACGTCCCAAACCCAACAATGAGCCTGGCCAAACAGAACATTGCAGCTCCTCAAACGAAGCCCCCGAGCCTCCGGGAGACACTCCCAAAACCCCTCGGCCCTGGCCCAGTGGCCATGACCGCAGCCAGCGTGGCCAAGTCATGCAGGTCCAAACCATGCTGAGTCAGTTGGCTCTGGAACAAGCGGCTCACATCCTGCCACAGTTGACTGCCAAACCGTGCCCCGTTGGATCCAGCGAACCGCTTTCGTCCAGCGCGTCGGGCCGAACCTCACCCCCACCCAGCTGTGGGGGTTCGCCGGCGAAGAACCCCAACGCTCCATTCAGAGCCCCTTCCAGTCCCTCAATGCCTATAAAGATTGCTTCGCTTTGCTTCGACCCCAGATCCCTCACAGGAATGTTCACCTCACACGAATTCCGCGCGAACGTTCACAGCGAAGCGATTGCGCCACCGGGTCCGGCCATGTCTTCGGCACCGTCAGGGCGCGGCCCGAAGGAAAGCGCCGGTTTTGGGAGGTAGATGTCTGGTGTTTTAGTGTTGTTCCTCTTAGTTGTTCTTCTTTCTCTTTTTGGTGTCGCATTCTCCTCAGAATGTGACTTCTTTTCTTAACACCAGCGAGTGGGATATGAGAGCTTCGTTTGCAGATCCAGTTGTTTCACTCGATTTAGAACCCTTAGCGCTCCAACCATATCCTCAGAAGGTGGTTAGGCCCCCCCTGGCACCCACCACCAACCATCTATCTTGGAGGTAGTTGGAGCGCTAGGGTACCACCTGAGGATTCTTCTTCACTCCTTACTCCCTTGTGGAGCCATGCTCATTGGTTGAGCCAAAGCTTTAAGTGAGATCAAGGACTCGCCATGAGGCCCAGGCCTCTCTAGTTTTTGACACGACATCCACCAGTTCGTACCCGGAACAGAACATGACGTGTGTGAGAACCGGGTGTTTGGCTCCTCCGGGTCCGAAGCTCGGACCCTCTTGGCATCCCACCTTGCTTAGAAGGTACATGAAGGTACGCAAGGTACGCCCTATAGGCTATATATAAACAACATGAGAAACCACCAGATCAAATCAACCAATTCAGGACTCAACAGCCCTAGGCATATAAACAACATTA